TCGGGTGTGCTACTCCGACTGTTTGGCAGTCACTGATGCCTGCAAGGCATCCTTTGAGCAACTCCTCGACCCTCCTTGGCCCGTCAACTGTTCCATGTTTACCGATGAACAGGAGGAAGATGGGAGCTGTTTTGGCCCTGCGGGAGGTAAAGACCATGCAGCCATATTCATGTAGATGATATCGAGTTAAGAATATGATTGGACTTAAGAAGATGCACTAAGTGTTTATATATGATAGTTCATAAAACCGAAGAAAAGATGTCAGCATGTTCTATTGAATTCATCACATGTGACAGTGGCGTGTAGCTATAAGATGGGGATGGCGGCACTGATCTTACTGCCAAGTGGGTTTTTAGAGAAAAATGAAAATCAGCATCCAAAAAGGAGGTGGATTGGAGGGTATCCAAAGGTGGTCTATCATCTTCTTCGGGCATCCTTTTCCCTCCTCTTTTCATTTTATTTTCGATTTATGCTTTGTTTTGTTTCATTTGCTTTGGGGGAGGCAAAGGGGTGCTATTCGAATTGGGTGGATGTCCCTTCCCTTCCCGTCGTTGTGCCACTGACTTGCGACTTTATCCCTCCCCCAGATATTTTCGATACCAACATATGCGGGACACGCCCTGCATACGCACCAGACCAATACAGGGTTCTTGGTGGTACCAACGCACGCCAAGGGGAATTCCCTTGGATTGGTTCACTCCGCATCGAAGGATTGGATTTTGGAGGACATTGGTGTGGGTCTACCCTGATCAACTCTCAATGGGTTCTTACCGCCGCTCACTGCGTGTAAGTATGATGCCACTATTAAATCGTTTGCTCTGTGGAAATGAAAGCAAATTGACACCTTACCTTCCCACGGATATTTACTTAGTTTAATTTATATAGAAGCGAACGTGTTTACCTCTAGAGTGCATGTACTACAACTAAACAAATTATGCACTGAGTTTTCGTCTAAATAATCATAGTCATGAAGATATATATATATAAAGTATCACTAGTAGTCAATATCTGTACACCCAATTATATATCCGTTCTTTAGAACAGATCAACCCATTGGCAATTACAATATCATGTAAAAGGCATTAAGCAACATTTTATTGAACTTTGCGCTATATGAAAAGTAATTGTATGTATGTATGAAATAAATAGAAAAAGTTAACCCAAAGCATAGCATCCCCTTGCAGGGTATAATGGCCTAATACGTCAGAACAAGTTACCTCCATTAGAATATACTATTATATTATTAGGCAAGGAAGTTAACCACATTTTCGCATAACAATTATGTATTTTCGCATAGAGTTATGACCATTCAACATTGACCTACATACTCCGAAATCGAACTTAGGCTGTATTTTCATGCATGTACCTTCATATCAAATTTCATTAAAATCCGTAAAACATTACTAAAGTTATCGAACGGAAACCCGATTCGCATATTTAATGAGCTATGAACTTTGACCTACATACTCCGAAATCGAACTTAGGTTGTGTTTTGATACCATGTACCTTCATATCAAATTTCATTAAAATCCGTCAAACATTACTAAAGTTATCGATCGGGAACCAGATTTGTTACGGAAGGACGGACGGCAGCGTTGCTATACCCCCTCCGACTATAACTACCAGATGACGGGATTTCACTTCAGTGTTGTTACAGAATTATGTTTAATTTAGAGACTTACATTTACATGACCGTATAACGTCTGATGTATCAGGAGCTAGTTAATTCCCCTGTGAGACATAGCAGATACAACGTTTGTAATATATAATGAAATCATGATGTACATGTATGAAACTACAGTTAATATATAATATATATCATGCTCAAATAAATGCAGCTCCGTTGAGATGTCCTTTTGATATACATGATTATATTTCGCCCTAGTAAAAATCACTGATTTAAATCCACTATCATTTATAGTGATTACTACGTCGATCGTGTGGTTTTTGGGAACGCACACTTGACGGATGACTCCGACAACGAGGTAGCGGTTGAGGTGGCTGATATTTTCGTCCATCCCGAGTACGACTCTTATTGGCTCTTCAACGACATCGCTCTGATACGACTTGCTGAACCAGTGACATTCAGTGACTACGTTAGACCCGCGTGTCTGTCGGAATCCTCGGACGAACTCAAGGACTATCGTCGCTGCCTCGTCGCTGGATGGGAAACTACACTGGATGGCCCACGTATGTACTGCTTTACTTATATTTGATAATAATAATAATAATTACATTAATGTATATAGCGCAGCGACTCTACTGCTCTGTAATGAAACAGTGCTACTAAACAGACAAACAATAATGAATAAACCTTTAGCCAATCAATTCTCTAGGTTATCTGATTGAAAGAAATGTGATATCCAAAAGGCCTCTTTCAAACAGGGAAGCTTTGAACATGCCCTTCAGTAGTTCTTCTTCACGTAGATCTGTAAACTTATAACCAATATGATTTCATCCACCTAACTTGATACCCTTATTCACCTAATTATTATTAATTAATGTATTTATTGGATGGTTTAAAAATTAAAAATCATGCTAAATAGCAGTGCTGAATCCATTATACCTTTCTATAGCTCTTTAAATGGTTTCAAACGTTTGATGATAATTTGACTTGAAATTCGTTTGCTTACAGAAGATGTAAACGATGATTTACTTTAATATTTCGCAGCGTTGACGCCAAGCTTGAAAAAAGCAGTGGTGAACCTTCTTGACCAAGACTGGTGCAATTCTGAACTTTTCTACAACGGGTCTCTGACAGAAGAAGATATATGTGCTGAATATGCGCCAGGTGGAATTGATACTTGTCAGGTAACTGCTATCTATGGCGTAGCCTGAGTTTAGCCATGTGTGCGGGGGGGGGGGGGACATGTGTCATGGGGGCGGGTATCGGACACAATATGAGGTTTGAATTAAAGCGAATACTACTACTACTTCTACTACTACTAATACTACTACTACTACTACTACTACTACTACTACTACTGCTACTATTTACACTTCTACTACTACTACTAAAAATGAATATAATGACAAATCTAGATTTATACATGGATAGTGCTTAAGACAAAATACCGTGTCTAAGCGCTTTAAAAATATTATTATCCCGGACACCGGATTCATTCATACGCAAAATGTGCGGCATCTCCACTCTTTGGGGAGTGTGACTTCCAAAACACCTCGACACCATCGACGACAGAACTTGACAAACCATGAAGATACCGTGCAAACAATGCAGGTTCAATCTGCAATTTAATGTAAACATATAAACATTTGTTTAGTCATATGTCGCCATTATTCATGAAATAATATATTTCTAGATGTAATAAACTCTACCTCAGTGAAACACAATACTGCAACCCTAGTTCACTTGTTTGTATTAATTTCTATTGTTATTTGCTTAAACCAAGATAAATTGTCATAATACTCTGTGGGTCTTTCCACACTTGTTACAATTAAACAAACCATTAAATTCCTTCATCTTATATGAACTGAATAGATTGTGATTAATGTAGAAGTCTACAGGCCTATACCTTCATAATCACAACCTTGACATAACAAATCAAATCATGCACTGCACCAATGTTTCTAGTGCTGCATGGTAGTAATTTTGTCTCCCTTTTGTAGAGAGCATGCACACTTATAATTATCCAACTGAGCTACAAAACTCCATAATATGCCTCTTATAATTTCATATCATTCATCTTTACTTTGATAGCTAAACAATACCTAAACGTAAATGCCCACATACGCCTGATTCATTATCAAAGTGCATTACACGTACTGACAAGTACATTACATAATACATGCACACAAACCCGTGCACTTTCACATACACGTGTACTCTCGGCCTTTCATTTATAAGGCATCACAAATGTCACTTAAAGATACATTAATGCTTTAAATTCAAGATAACATGCATAGTTTACTCACATCATTGGGCTTGTATCGAAATTAGACAAATATCAATGGCATCTCCGGTTAACATAACATTTCCAAAACAGGGAAATTAGCAGCACGCCTAACAGCGCCTCCAAGCGGCCAAATCAATACTAGCTTCTTATTTATCGGTAGTGACGTCACAGTCTTGCCTAAATCTAACCAAAAGGGCTTTCTACACACGACAGGGAGTATTCCTACCACAGGGTCACCGTTAGGGCATAACGAAATAACTATCACACAGGCTTCGTGCACCTACAGTGTCCAAATTCAATCCTGGGTATGGAGTGGCAGATGTAGATTAATGCCTTGTCAAAGGACATCAGTGCCGTGCCGGAGTCAAACCCATGACCTTTGAATTTCCAGTATAGCGGTTAAACCTCTCTACTACGACAGCATGGAAGGAGATAAGGGCATAGGATTGAGTCATTACCTTTTACTTTAACCCAAGTTGCTTTTCTGCTCTCCCATCATATTTTATTTTCATTAGACCGATTATTTGGGCTGTACTCCCGTTTCCCTCATAACTGTGACACTGACTGCAGTGGTATTTTGTTTTACTCAGTTATTTTCAATTTTATATCCTTTTTGTCTTTGTTTCAGAATTTGGACACACTGACTTACACACCCCTTTAATATATATCAAACTGCCATGTTCCGAATACATGTACTTTTTCGAAAGATACACATGTGTGTGGTCCTATGTGCAGGCCCGTAGCCAGAGTTTGATTTTTTTTTTGATTTTTTTTTTTTTTTTTTTTTTTTTTGGGGGGGGGGGGGCACATACATGTAATCGATCGAGGTAAAAAAGGGGTCTAAAAAAGTTCAACCGATCTTGGAATTTTTTGGGGGGCACGTGCCCCCCGTGCCCCCCCCCCCCCCCCCCCCGTGGCTATGTGCCTGCCTATGTAGGATATTTGTTTAGTTTGCAAGTCATCCAATTCAATTTTATTATCTCGTGTTTATTATTACAAAAATTAGGGAGACAGCGGTGAGCCTTTGACCTGTGAAGGTGATGATGGTCGATGGCATCTGGTCGGATCAAGAAGCTTTGAAGGAGGATGCGCAAGACTACGCTTGCCCAGCGTCTACACCCGAATCTCACAGTTCCAGTCATTTATTACAGCTGTAGTTTCAGGAGGTGAGTACACCTGTGCAGGAGAATCATGATCGGAAGACTTTCAACAACAACAACAACAACATAAAAAACAATAGACGGCAATTTTAAAAGCCTTTGTTCACCACCTACTGAAATGTGCTTGCATTACAATGGCGTATTACAAAATACAATGATTTTCTACATGCCATTGAAATTGATGAGGAGTTGATTCTTCGAAATATTTTGGAATTTTATGGAGAGGACTTCGGCTAAAGGTTAAACCAATGAATGTATTTGCGACTGGCAAATCATAGCTTTCTGAAGCCTTCTGGTTCCCATCATTGTATTTGATCAACTGGCCCCTTTGACCGTGTATAATGATCATAATAATAATAATAATGTATCTATATAGCGCATTTTCCATATACATGTTCAAATGCGCTTTACAGTTATATTGTTAACTGAGATTGAGACAATTTTTGAAGGTATTGACAGATTGGTGGTTACGAAGAGATCGGTAGGTTATTCCACAGTTTGGGAGCAGCATCTGTGTAGTGAAGTGGCCCTCTGGCCAGCACATCAACCTGCCCTTCGATAGGAGTCCGAATTCTTCCGATTATAAGTTCACAGTAGTCAAACTTCAAGGTTAAATTTTCCGTCTTGAAATTGTGGTCTCAAAAATATGTTTTGGCGTTATTCATTGGATTAAACAAACAAAAATCGTAAGTATTCTGGTTACATTTATATTTCTTTCAGCAATAACACCGGGTGTTACTGAAATCACCCTTGAGCGTGCCGTCCCAGTGAACATCACTTCTCCAAATTACCCTTCCGACTACAACATCGGCGATAACATCGTCTGGAAGGTATCAGCCCCTGTCAACCACAGCGTCAGGCTGGACATCGTCGACTTCGCTACCCAATTGAACTTCGACATCTTGTTTGTGGGCGATGGACTGACGCCACTGAGTTACACAGAGCTTGCGAGGCTCACGGGCTATGGGTTAAGGTCAACTGTGACGTCACATGGCCGCCATATGTGGCTCAAATTCACCAGTAATTTCGGAATTATTGACGTTGGATTCATGGCAACACTGAACGCTGTGGATCCGAGAGGTAATAAGATTCGTCTTTGTACCATGGTGAAATTCTAGGGATTTAGGAATCTTCAGAATGATCAGATGATTTAAAATTATTTCACAACAAACATACAATTTCTTAATATATTTTCGTATGTCTTTTTTTGTAGAAAAAAAACATGCCAGTATTTCAGCCTCATTTAGTGTTATAATGTTTTTGTTGTAACAGATGACAATCCTCTAATCTTGGTGAACGAGTCTACGGTCCAACAGCTCCGCTCACCAGACTTCCCTCTTGATGCAAGCGACAGCGTGCACGAGATTTGGCGGGTAATGGCTCCTCGGGATCACAGCGTGAGGGCGCGTTTTGACTTCTTTAACCTCACCGACGGTTCTTCGCTTACCGTGGGCTACGGCTCGAGTCCTTTAATGACCACAATCCTAGTGGAGTTGACTGGAAGTGAATTGCCTGAAGATATTACCTCCCCCACTCGAGAATTGTGGTTTAGATTTGTGTCGGATACTGGGGACTCCAGTAGAAGGAAACGAAGAGCGGTCGGTTCGCTTATGGAAAGTGGATTCTTGGTGAATCTAACAGCAGAAAGGACTGAAGGTGAGATATGTATCTTTTTCTAACTTTAAAACATTAATAAACTTAATCATTAATCTATAAAAACGAACATGGAAAACTCTTTTAACCTCGAAATACGTTGAAATAGTTTTAAAAAGGAAGTTTTCTGACGAAAAAAGCACGACAGTTAATTGATTAACAAATAAGATAAACAACTAAAACATAATTGATCTTTATCACTTCATGAAAGTTATGAAATCCACGAGGTATTTTGCAAATTTGTGGCTTTTCTCCACCAAATCACCAAAAACTAATGACAATATTATAGCCATCTTGAGGTGAAAGAATATCAATATTTTCAATACTTTCACTAATTGAACAATGCTCCTTTCCAGATATCAACGAGTGCCTGAGTAACCCTTGTCAGAATGGAGGCACATGTTCAGACATCCATGGAGGTTTCCAGTGCTTCTGTCCCGAAGGCTTCAAAGGAGATTACTGTCAAACAGGTATGTCTCCACCCTCATACTTACAATATTAGTTTTCCTTTCTTGTAAATCGTGTATCACATAATGATAGAACCTCTCTATGCGCTCTTAAGGGATACTCTTTGGATAGTTTTACCCCTTCTTTAGCTCCGGAAAATATAGGCGCTCGGTGCATTCAAGGAATAAATCCTACCAGGTATCCACTTCCTACACAGTGACCTTGGTCGAATGTAGATAAATGTCTTGCTTAAGTACATTTGTCCAGCAATAGGCATTCGAAGCCCGTACGTTATGGTTCACAGTCCGGAAACACCAAGTACAACACAACATCTCTGCTAACCGAGCTCTCATAATTTTTACCTGAATATAAATATATGTTTATATATATAAATAATTTGCAGAAGTACCTATTTCAAAATTAAGACCAACATTTTTTGGCAAGAGCACTATACGATTTTGTGTGCGATGTGTTTGCTTACTTATGGGTGAGGGTCTTTTCAAACGGATAGCACTAAAAATATTGATAACATTTAATGCTTGAGTGAGCACTGGCTAATTTCGAAAAGCTCGTGAAAATTGGTCTGCGCAAAAATGTTTCAGTCTTGATTTTGAACATAGTTCTGTTTTCCGAGTTACACTTTCATCGTTTTGTACAGAAATGTCACACAAAGTCTCATTTTTCTCACGTTGACTGTGCAAGGATGACTAAATCACTTATTAAGTGATTACAAAATATAAAACTTACGACTCTCATTTTCAAGTCGTGGAAAGCACCGTTTTATATTTTGTACATATCTTTATTGTGACCTTGTTCTCTTCTCCAACGTTCAGGTTAGGACAAAACAAATGGACTCAATACCCTCAAGACATAGCACCACGAAGAGATAGCTAGACAAGAATATAATAATTCAGTTAGGCAGTGGTGTAGCGGGGGCCTCTGGCATTACTGGGATTTGGAGTAATTTTATTAGATGGATGAAGTATAAATTGTCGAGGCTACCTACGAGGGGGAACGAGGCAGGAGACTTTATTTACTTCTTTTCACTTTTCCTTTCCCTTTCGTTTTATGTTGTATACATCGTGCCCCTTGCATCTACTTCATTGGAGAGATTTGTTCTTCAAAGTCATGAAAAAGATATTGAATACGGGAAACGGGATACATGTGTATATTAAACCTTTCTATTTACCACATGAAAATGTGGCAGATCTCTAATTGGCTCAAAATACTGAACCATAACTTGAATGATAATATTTTGTTCACGCTGTTTGTTATAATAGACATTGAATAGAACATATCAAACTAGTTTACCCAATTCACATGAGCTACAATGATGAAACTTGGTCAGGTTTGTTTTCCCCTTCAATACTGACATTATTACAACATATTGCTTTTTCTATTACGGTAATGGGGTTTGGTCCTCTCAACAATACGTCAATATGTCAAAACATCTGGAATTGAATAGAAAATATACGAGATAATACCGAAATTTGTCTATCAAAGTCCAAATGTTTTTGTTTTTTTACATATCCCTTACAAGGTATATGTGCATTTGTATAGATGAAATAAATCAGATGAAATAATGATGTATTCCGGGGCCTACTAAACGCCCACGAACTGTTTTTGTTGTAGGTCTGCTGGTTTCCAAACACGTCAAATTCCCCTGTTCTTTTTGTTTGTTTGTATTCTCTTATATAGAAATTATATATTAAATGTTTCATATTTGTGGTGATAGAGAAATAATTATAACATATATAACAAATAATATTTCTATATGTAGTCTAACACATTCAGGCTGCACTCGTTGTTTTGTTTTTATGTTAAAGCCAGGTGATGTTTATCACTACTGGGAAAATTAGATTTGTATAACTTATTTAAAGAGAGTAATCTGAAATTAGAGTGTGGTGAATTTACACTTTCTCCTTTAACAATTTTAATGTGTATGGTTCATGGTTCATGTCCTTGACTTTGAATCGGGAGGTTGAGGGTTCGAATCTTTGCCGGATGCGTACACTGGCATTTGACTAGGCATTTGATCAATACTTGCCTCTCTCGACGTTACTATGAACATGGCACATGTATAAGGAAAACGATTACATGTCGTTTTTTTTTATTTTTTTAACGAAGGCTCATATTCACAAGTATGTCGATGTCACATGAATGTGTTATCGAGCTTTATTTTGTGTGTACAAGCTTTATTTTTTGTGTACTGGGGGCATATTTAACTCTACTCTCGATCTATTTTTCGTTATTTCTTTGATATAATCCCCTTGATCCCTTTTCTTTTTTTCTTTTTCTTTCCCATCTGTACATATACCATATATTCCTACTTGACATCTGCACTCAGAGAGCAATAACTCATTGATGTCTCGATTTGGTGTCAGCTTGGGTTTGTCCATATTAGATCACCCTCCCATGGGCGGGTTGATTTTTGCTCATATGATACATATTTTCACACATACGTTGAGTTTGTTAGCTCACCCGGTGTGATGGGGATGTGCGCATCTTCGGGTGTACTTGTTGTAGTCATCCATGCTGTGGTCGATGCATCGTTGAGTAGTTGTTCTCTGAGAGTATTTTGTAAATAGCTTTATATATTCCATATTTGTTGTTGTATTCATGAATCAGTTATCTTTGTCACATCACATGAGGGGGCCTTAACTTATATCAAGCTGTGCTTCAACCAAGGTCTCCTCGTCTTTCTTTATTATACTTTGTACTGTTATGATTATACTCTATTATATTTTTTCACATGTGTTTTTCTGGATGACAAATAAACTTGATACTTGATGCTTGATACTATGAACATGGTATATGTATAAGAAAAACGATTACATGTCGTTTTTTAAATATTTTTTAACGAAGGTTCATATTTCAGAATGCTCGTTATTCCTCAAATTCATTCCGAAGGTTCGTTTTTCCCCAAGGTTCGTTGCTCCAAAGTTTCGTAATTCAGAAAAATGAAAGAGGGCACACAATTCCGGAGGTTCATTATTATAGCCATCTTGAGGTGAAAGAATATCAATATTTTCAATACTTTCACTAATTGAACAATGCTCCTTTCCAGATATCAACGAGTGCCTGAGTAACCCTTGTCAGAATGGAGGCACATGTTCAGACATCCATGGAGGTTTCCAGTGCTTCTGTCCCGAAGGCTTCAAAGGAGATTACTGTCAAACAGGTATGTCTCCACCCTCATACTTACAATATTAGTTTTCCTTTCTTGTAAATCGTGTATCACATAATGATAGAACCTCTCTATGCGCTCTTAAGGGATACTCTTTGGATAGTTTTACCCCTTCTTTAGCTCCGGAAAATATAGGCGCTCGGTGCATTCAAGGAATAAATCCTACCAGGTATCCCCTTCCTACACAGTGACCTTGGTCGAATGTAGATAAATGTCTTGCTTAAGTACATTTGTCCAGCAATAGGCATTCGAAGCCCGTACGTTATGGTTCACAGTCCGGAAACACCAAGTACAACACAACATCTCTGCTAACCGAGCTCTCATAATTTTTACCTGAATATAAATATATGTTTATATATATAAATAATTTGCAGAAGTACCTATTTCAAAATTAAGACCAACATTTTTTGGCAAGAGCACTATACGATTTTGTGTGCGATGTGTTTGCTTACTTATGGGTGAGGGTCTTTTCAAACGGATAGCACTAAAAATATTGATAACATTTTATGCTTGAGTGAGCACTGGCTAATTTCGAAAAGCTCGTGAAAATTGGTCTGCGCAAAAATGTTTCAGTCTTGATTTTGAACAAAGTTCTGTTTTCCGAGTTACACTTTCATCGTTTTGTACAGAAATGTCACACAAAGTCTCATTTTTCTCACGTTGACTGTGCAAGGATGACTAAATCACTTAACTCATTTTCAAGTCGTGGAAAGCACCGTTTTATATTTTGTACATATCTTTATTGTGACCTTGTTCTCTTCTCCAACGTTCAGGTTAGGACAAAACAAATGGACTCGATACCCTCAAGACATAGCACCACGAAGAGATAGCTAGACAAGAATATAATAATTCAGTTAGGCAGTGGTGTAGCGGGGGCCTCTGGCATTACTGGGATTTGGAGTAATTTTATTAGATGGATGAAGTATAAATTGTCGAGGCTACCTACGAGGGGGAACGAGGCAGGAGACTTTATTTACTTCTTTTCACTTTTCCTTTCCCTTTCGTTTTGTGTTGTATACATCGTGCCCCTTGCATCTACTTCATTGGAGAGATTTGTTCTTCAAAGTCATGAAAAAGATATTGAATACGGGAAACGGGATACATGTGTATATTAAACCTCTTTATTTACCACGTGACAATGTGGCAGATCTCTAATTGGCTCAAAATACTGAACCATAACTTGAATGATAATTTTTTTTCACGCTGTTTGTTATAATAGACAATGAATAGAACATATCAAACTAGTTTACCCAATTCACATGAGCTACAATGATGAAACTTGGTCAGGTTTGTTTTCCCCTTCAATACTGACATTAGTACAACATATTGCTTTTTCTATTACGGTAATGGGGTTTGATCCTCTCAACAATCCGTCAATATGTCAAAACATCTGGAATTTAATAGAAAACATACGAGATAATACCAACATTTTCTATCAAAGTCCAAATGTTTTTTTTTTTTTTTTTTTTTACATATCCCTTACAAGGTATATGTGCATTTTTATAGATGAAATAAATCAGATGAAATAATGATATATTCCGGGGCCTACTAAACGCCCGTGTACAGGTTTGTTTTTGTAGCTCTGCTGGTTTCCAAACACGTCAAATTCCCCTTTCTTTTTTGTTTGTTTGTATTCTCTTATATAGAAATTATACTTTAAATGTTTCATATTTGTGGTGATAGAGAAATAATTATAACATATATAAAAATAATATTATTTTATGTAGTCTAATACATTCGTGCTGCACTCGTTGTTTTGTTTTTATGTTAAAGTCAGGTGAAAATTTGATTTTTATAACATATTTATAGTGAGTAATCTGAAATAAGAGTGTGGCGAATGTACACTCTCTCCTTTAACAATTTTAATGTGTATGGTTCATGGTTCAAGTCCTTAACTTTGAATCGGGAGGTTGAGGGTTCGAATCTTTGCCGGATGCGTACAATGTACCCTCTGAATAGGCATTTGATCAATACTTGCCTCTATCGACGTTACTATGAACATGGTACATGTATAAGGAAAACGATTACATTTTTTTTTTTTTAACGAAGGCTCATATTCACAAGTATGTCGATGACACATAAATGTGTTATTAAACTTTATTTTTGGTGTACTGTACCATATTTAATTCTACTCTCGATTTATTTTTCGTTATTTCTTGACTTTGACATAATCCCCTTGATCCCTTTTCTTTTTTTCTTCTTCTCATATATTCCTACTTGACCTCTGCACTCAGAGAGCAATAACTCATTAATGTCTCGATTTGGTGTCAGCTTGGGTTTGTCCATATTGGATCGCCCTCGCATGGGTGGGTTTATTTTTGCTCATATGATACATATTTTTAAACACACGGTGAGTTTGTTAGCTCACCCGGTGTGATGGGGATGTGCGCATCTTCGGGTATACTTGTTGTAGTCATCCATGCTGTGGTCGATGCATCGTTGGGTAGTTGTTCTCTGAGAGTATTTTGTAAATAGTTTTATATATTCCATATTTGTTGTTGTATTCATGAATCAGTTATCTTTGTCACATCACATGAAGGGGCAGGCGCGTACGCAGGGGGGAGGGGGGGGGGTTGTGGGTTGAACCCCTCCTTCGGTTTTTTGTATGTGTGTATTTTGGAACACACCCCCCCCCCCCCCTTTGTGATTTTGTTTTTTAAATTAAAAAAAAAAAAAAAAAAATTATGCCAATGGCTGACCTAAAAAAGGTGACCTCCCCCCCCCCCTAAACGGAACAAAATGTCAATTTTTCAAATTTCGAGACCATAAACAAAAAAGTGTCCTCTTACCCCCCCCCCCCCCCCCCCGCTTATTCAGCGGCTGGCTAAGTCGTTGCGAAATTTTCGGCCCGATTTAAAAATGTTAACCCCCCCCCCTTGAAAAAATCCTGCGTACGCTACTGTGAGGGGGCCTTAACTTATAACAAGCTGTGCTTCAACCAAGGTCTCCTCGTCTTTCTTTATTCTACTTTGTACTGTTATGATTATACTCTATTATATTTTTTCACATGTGTTTTTCTGAAAGACAAACAAACTTGATACTTGATACTTGATACTATGAACATGGTTCATGTATAAGGAAAACGATTATATGTCGTTTTTTTAATTTTTTAACGAAGGTTCATATTTCAGAATGCGCGTTATTCCTCAAATTCATTCCGAAGGTTCGTTTTTCCTAAGGTTCGTTGTTCCAAAGTTTCGTAATTCCGAAAAATGAAAGAGGGCACACGATTCTGGAAAGGTGATAGAAGTATAGAACCATATGTAATCTTTGGAATCATGAACCCTGTATATTTCATTTTCAGAATTATAAACCTTGTTTAATTTCCCAATTATGAAGCTTAGGAATTACGAACCTTCAGAAAAATGAGCCGTCGGAAAATTGCGCGCCATCTCTCCCTCTAGAAAACCATGATTCTTGTAAGTGGTTGAACTTGAGTATCCTCCATTGTGTCCTCTTTGGCAGGACATAAAATCTACATTTGCCACTCTACACCAATGGCAAGTGGGTAGTTGTTCTCTGAGAGTATTTTGTAAATAGTTTTATATATTCCATATTTGTTGTTGTATTCATGAATCAGTTATCTTTGTCACATCATATGAGGGGGCCTTAACATATTAACAAGCTGTGCTTCAACCAAGGTCTCCTCGTCTTTCTTTATTCTACATTGTACTGTTATGATTATACTCTATTATATTTTGTCACACGTGTTTTCTGAAAGACAAATAAACTTGATACTTGTTACTTGATACTTGATAAATGGGTATTACCTTGTAAAATTCTTTCATTCGAACACATAAGTATGAGCCTAAAACGGTTGCCGTAGCTAATGCCGGGATACTTTTACAAGGTAATTTTCTTAGAACTTGGAAGCGCATATAAACGGAATATTGTAATGTGATATGCGCCATATAAAACGGAATGATATCATTGATGTTATTACTACGTAATAATGTATTGTCTTTGTATTGATATTCCACATAATTATGCCTTTTCAATTGTGTTTGTTGAATACTACTTGTTTTTCTTTTCTGGGAAAAAATAAAGCAATTATAAACAGCTGATTGCGTTTTTGTCCATTGTTTCATGATTACAATATCACAATTTTTGGTATGAAATGATTTAATATATTGTACAGTTTAAATAATATTGAATGAGGCAACTTAATGGGTAAAGAAGTGGCGATATAATATTTTATGTATAATTCTTTGTGTGCTCAATTATAATATATTAGTTGGATAGGGGAAATGCAAATCGTTAAAAAGTACAGTTTACATTACAGGCGATAGGTCTCAGTTTTACCTAAATCCTTAAGGTAAGCCTCAAGACTTAAAGTAAAAAATAAAGCCAATCATCATCACCATCATCATTACCCTTATCATCATCATCATCATCATTATCATTATTATCATTGTTATTATTATTATCATTATCATCTTAATCATTATCAGCATTATCTGCATCAGCATTATTACTAAAACTATACTGCTAATACATGCGGCTGCTGTTGCTGCTACTTGCTTTTAGTGTTGTTCTTACTTCTTCTTCTTCTCCTTTTCCTCCTACTTCTTTTTCTTTCTTCTTTTTCTTCTTCTTCTTCTACTTCTATCTTTTCTTCTTCTTATTCGTCTATTTCCTCATCTTCTTCTTTATTTTTCGTCCTCTTCTTCTTCTTTTCTTCTTCATTATCTTCTTCTGAAAATCTCACTTCTGCTTCAAAGAGTCTTGTCTTTTCTTGCAAATAATTAATTTATTACATCCAATTCTCTGTTTTAAAATTGAGACATCTAATACATACATAGAGATCGACATGTATGTGAGATCTGTGAATAGATGACATCGTCTTGGACTGACTATGTAAAGATGGGTCCAATTTTCCATTTTTCATTTGATGCATAAGTTTATCTATTTTGTAACACAGCATTACAAATAAAATGTAGCTCACTTATTTATCGTAGCAACAGGCAGTTAATATCTTTAGTATAATTATGACTTAGCCCAAATTAACTTGCTGCGCCTTTACTCAGTAATGTGATTTTGTACAGTAAACAAGGAGTGGCATTGGTATTCAATTATTATTCAGAAAAAGATGGATGGTTAATCGATCGCATGTCCAGACCTTGACCTCGGGAGGAGCAATATTTCACAAGTTTATACTTTAAAGAATCCACCTGTGTCAGGGTCTTGCTTTGCATTAAGGGGTGGGGTATCACTCGTAATGAACTATTTTGATAATTTCCTGAAAATCCTTGCAGAAGTCAGTGTTAATTGACATCCTCTTTCACTGTCTTCATTATAAAATTGAAGATAATTTTTGCCTTCAATTTTTGGGGGCTCTTAACACTTTAGAGAGGCTTTAACAAGATTTGATTTGAACATGGATTATTTATTATAGGTTTAAAATCAAGGAGAAAGTATGCTTCACAGAGAGAAATGAAGATAGGGGAGATGGAGAGATGAAGGATGGAGAAAAAGAGAGAGATAGAGAGAGATATGGAAATAAAGGAAAGGTACGGAGAGAGAGTGACACATTGAGATGGAAGTGAGGGACGGAGAGAGAGAGAGAGAGAAATTGAAATAGAGGAAGAGGGGCAGGGAGTTAGAGAGAGAGAGGGGGCGTTGACTGGAGAGAGCATGAGGGAGAGAAAGGCGGAAAGGTAAAAATGGATGACATAGGGGGAGAGGAAAGGGATGGAGAGAGATTGAGCTGGAAGAGAGGGACGGAGACAGAGAGAGAGAAATTGAAATAGAGGAAGAGGGACAGAGAGTTAGAGAGAGAGAGAGAGAGAGAGAGAGAGAGAGAGAGGGGGGCGTTGAATGGAGAGAGCATGAGAGAGAGAAAGGCGGAAAGGTAGAAATGGATGACATAGGGGGAGAGGAAAGGGATGGAGAGAGATTGAGATGGAAGAGAGGGACGGAGACAGAGATAGAGAAATTGAAATAGAGGAAGAGGGACAGAGAGTTAGAGAGAGAGAGAGAGAGAGAGAGAGGGGAGCGTTGAATGGAGAGAGCATGAGAGAGAGAAAGGCGGAAAGATAGTAAGGGATGGGAGGGGGAGAGAAAGAGTGAGAGGAAGGGCGGCGGTGGATGTTAATTTGCAGACATGACGGTAAAGCACAGACATGGGGAGAGAAAGAAGTGTCGGAGACCAAAAAACAGAATCGTGGAATTAAAGAGGGTCAGAATATAGGAAGGGGTGGGTTGGAGAACAGTGAGCGAGGTCAGATATTTGAACAGGGTTAGAAATTATTTTAAACAATCTCTAAAAATGTGTAGTTACCTTAATTCCTGTCTTTTGAAAATGGTACCTAGACCTCTGAACGAAATAACAATTATCGTGTATTTTGATTTTGACTAGTAGTCCTACGTTCCACCTACTTTATGGCATCAATTAGAGGTCACTTTTGCCATTTTTACCAGTGGTAAACTTTCTCATTTATTAACAGTCCTACTCTGCACTTACCTATGACATCAGTTAGAGGTCCATACCCATATAGTTCCATCCTCAATACAGGAGACCGTGATTGGTCTTTGGATGGACCCGGAAAGAGCGTCCAACTAACGGCCTTGCAAGCGTGTGAGTCACATGGCTATCATTCAATGGGAATGATCTTAAGTAATATTGCAAAGAAAAACTCATTCTTAATGAAGCTAATCGTTAGTCCATAACTCTACACGGCCTGTGTATTAATGCAATGCTGACTGCACACATTGTGGTTATGAAGAGCCAGTTATGATAATCATGGCAATCGGCTTTTTCTCGTTTTTTCCGTCTCATGGCCATATCCATATGTCAGTATCCTGAGCAGTAATGTCTAAAATAGCGAAGAGCTATCCGAGCTCCTGCGCCCGGGGTGGGTAGAAACTTCCCTATCTGCATGGCTGGATCAACTAAGATGTCATTTTCGTAAGTTGTGATTCATGTTTTTCATAACTCATTTTGAAAAATCCTTATTAGTTTGTTAGATAAACAAAGGCCTATATCATGTATATTGCTATTTGTATTCTTCTTCTGCCAATTATACTTTTTTGTCACCTATTTATATACATAAAAAAAAAAAAGGAAGTTCCTTTTCCCTCTTTCCTGTTCCCCAGTTTTAGAACTAAAACTAAAATATGGCACTATGTAAACTTATTGTTCGTAAAAAAAACACATGTTAACTTAATAATTTTGTATCTCCACGTGAGAGAGGCGGTATATAATTTTCTGCATGTTATTGATAATAGAATATGAAGGATTTTTTCTTTCTTTTTGCATCTGTATAAAAATCCCTCTATGTTACACTGGAAAATTCTATCTTTATTTGGTTGTATTATTTTTTTTATTATTAAAAAGAAAATGAATTAATAACAGTAATATAAACAACAGTGGGGCCTCGTTATTTCAAAACATTGTTTTATAAACTTTTACTTCAGCAAGAGACTCCAAATGATTTTTATTCCTTAATAATATATACCGTTTTTTTTTTTTTTTTTTTGTCAGCCCTGGCACAAATAAGTTGTATTATAGCGATCAATTTTCCAAAGTCCCATGGAGTTCTTACGAAGTTACACTGTATATTTCTGAACATAAATACCACTGATTAATTTTTGTTAATGTAAATGAGGAAACCGCGGTTTTGTATTCACCTCAACTGATCCAGAGTAAACGTTCAAATAATCAGTCCAAGCCATGTTGTCAAAACTAGACGAACAAGTGTATGACGTCACCCACTGACCAACGTTATTTCTACCCTGAGTAGTATACGACCGTTACAATATAACTGCACTCAGATTGGACCTGCATCCATGGGTTTTGGTCGGACAAGTATGTGATCCAGGCTGTGTCATCGTTCAGGCGGCCAAAACGGCTGCAGAAGGCCGCCGAGTAGCAGGATGATTCGGAGAAAGCCGAATCGGGAAGAGCACCACTTTCAAGGCCGAATGGTTGACCAGATATATTACACGGGTTCACTCTTGGAATTAAAGTCAATAAATAATACAAACATATTACAGAGGCATAGAAGTGCAAATAAAACACGAGAGTAAAAATTATATTTCACACCATACACAAAAAAACAAGAACTCCCAGTTTCGAGTAAAACCCCAAACTCATATAGTCGGGTGAATTGCAGTTCGAAAATGTGATTTTTACACCTAAACTGGAGTACATGACCAAGCATCACATTTGTTACCGCCTTGGTGAGTTTCATTTTACTCGATGATATATAAACAAAAATCACTTGAACGAGTATTCTCAACTGGTGTAGAAAAAAAGTGAGAAAACATTCTCAGTTGTTGATGAAAATTATGTTAAATTAGTAAATCTACTGCCTAGTCAGTAAACCAAGTCATTAACGCATCACTGAGTTTTCATTAAACTGTGGGATATTTACTCATTGACTCGTTCTTCGAAAACTTCCAATACCATCAAGTGAGTGATCTCACTCATTTCATGTGTATAGGATCTAGCGTCGGAGAAAATTATTCACGAATCTGAGTACGACGGCCACGTGCGTGAGCTCGCGCATGCTAGCGCCAAGCAATGCAATATACATGCAATATATACTGCAATGCAGAAGAATAGACTCCATATAATCTATGGCTGACGTGGGAAGAGCGAAGACGTAAGTAAGAGTTTGTTTCGTTTTTATTTGAATACCCGTAAGTTTGTTTGATGTTTACGTTTTTAGGGGAAAAAAAGACGTACTTCTAATTGATAAGTGAGCACTTATTCTAACACTGCTCCGTTTACTATAAGTTAATGAAGTCTCATTTGTTTGTTTTTTCTTCCAATTTTTGTTTTGTTCCACTCGAGTATTTTTGTGTGATCAACATAAGGTACCGTTGCTAAAATCAAAATTATATAAGCTAACCCACTTATACATGGAGATAAGCATATTTCCATGTATAAGTGGGTTAAACAAGATTCACAATCATGAGTATGTTGAAGAATACTCATGAAGAATACTCACTTGTGTGTCATTATAGTGTCAATTGTAAAAACTCACTTTATCTCCATTACAACGGGAACTAACATGGTGAGTACCAAGAGAATAAAAACTAAATGGGATGAGTAAATTTTACTCATTTAGTGTATCATTATAGTGTCAGTAAATTAACACTTGTTTATGTGCAAACTTACACGAATTTTTGTTTGTGTGCGGTCTCCTTGATGAAATACATCATAAGTATCACCATGACACCATTGCCCGTAAAACGATGACACCACACCACACCTCAGCTTAGTGCTTTGGGGAAAATCCCGGAATCTATCTTTACTACACGTCCGCCTCTTAGTCAATTCTTTCTCATGAGGGAAAAGTGAGAGATAGAGCGAGAGAGAGAGAGAGAGAGATATATACAGTGTGCGTGTGTGTGCGTGTGTGTACGCGTGCGCGTGTGTGTGTGCGCGTGTTTGTGTGAGGGAGGGGGCAGGGAGGAGCAGGCATTGTACCGGTTAAAACCCCACTGCACTACTTATAGCTACTTGCGCCCTCTATATAGCAAACAATGCATAATCGGTGACCGTTGGTCCATCATGGTCCCATTTTTCTTATGTTAATTGAGAGCCGATTTGATGAGATAACCACCTGTCAGTGACCATGCAAGGAGGTCTAATCCCTCCTGGCCAAACTAGTGCAGGTAGGCTTTAAATAACCTCCAGATTTTTTAAAATTATAAGTGAATAACATTTACAATTGACATATGAATTATGTTTACTCTGGCGCTAAATTATATAAAGTATACTGCAAATTATATTTTTCTTTTATTTATGTTTATGTATAAACAAACAATTATTGAAAACGTTTATTTTATTCAATTGTATGTTTTCGTTTGTATTACACATTTGGAGGAATAAAAAAATAAATTACTATACAAATTTAAAACAGTTTTTTTGTGTACGTGTGTGCGTCTGTGTGTGTGTGTGTGTATGCGTGCGTGTGCGTGCGTGTACTACAACCCTAGGCATGCTTGCCTGAAGTGAGAAGAAACATTTCTTTCAAAACATGCTTATTCAGTATATTGACTATTTCATTATTTTGCAACGCAAGTCTATGTAAATTCAGATAGAGGGGTAAATGTATGGATGGTCTGTTGGGGATTTGTATTAGTAATATTTCATTTTACTTTGTTGCTTTTAAGGTATTAAACATGTTGAATAATTAAAAGTTAGACAGTACCACCTGTGCGCTTAGAAACATCTGTATAAAGCGCCCTATAAATGTTATTATTATTATTATTATTTCACGATATTTAAGTACTTTGTTGTAACGCGTATTTATGCAAAACATAATATCTGGGTAACGACGGCTCTTGGTATTACAATGAGCTTTATTGCTAGGTACTTTTCATAAATCTTTGTTAACATAGCATTACAAATTCAAATGCAAGGCCACGTCTGAATTGAAAGGGTTCTCGGACTGGCGTTAATGGTTTTAATTCGGGTCTCGGAAACGCCCTTTCTTTTAGGGTATGAAATTATGATTGGTGAGAGGGCCTGTCCGTTCATCATTTGTAACTCATGGTATGCAAATTATATAACTTGGTATAATGGTAGAAAATGGTAGCAGGAATCCTAAGCACGTCTTAAGTGAGAAGAGACATTTCCTTCACAAGGTGCTTATACAGTATATCGACTATTTCATTATTTTTAAACACAGTCTATGTAAATTCAAATAGGTTGGTAGATGTTTGAATTCTATTTTGAACGTCCGCTTTCTTTCACGATGTCTACTGCAACGCCTTTATACAATGCCATGGTATCTGGGTAACGACGGCTTTTTTTATATTACAATGAGCTTTATTTCAAAGTACTATTCAAATACCATAGTAAACATTGCATTACAAATTCAAATGCAAATGCAAAGCCATGTCAGAATTGAGAAGGCCCTCTACTTTCATGTGTTGCTATCGATAAGGCAATCTAAAATTCACATATCTTAGTAAATGAATGATACATGTTTAATTGTTTTCTTCTGTAAAGTGAAAACAATTTGAGTATCTAGATAATGGTCCGATCTGCTCACCCAGCAAAAACTTTTTTAAAGCCAGGTGGTGGTGTGATATTTTGAGAGGGAGGAACGTGTTGGGATCCGGTATGCATGCTTGCCTATCATTATGTCGGGCGGATGTTTGGTGTTCTTTCGAGTTGTCGGAAACGCCCTTTGGGAGTTTGTAGGGAGGTGCGTGAGCCGGTCTATTCATTTATTGGTGAGGCATATTATGCAAATTATATAGCTTGGTAAATGATAGCAACTTTTTATTACAATGTCAAGGCACGCCTTGAAGAGAGAAGAGACTTTTCTTTCACGTGGTCTTTTCTTTGACCGTTGTAAATCCATATATTTTAGGTAAATTGGATTTTGCAGAATCAAATGCAAATGCAAATCAGATCAGATATGGGGCGAAAAGGCTCTTTTCAGAGGTATATGCATATAGTTAATATTGTTATGCAAACTCTATCTTAGTAAATTACATCATGCTCTGTCATACATTTATACATTTATTTATGAAGTGGAGACAGCCTTTTCTATCATGAGATCAATATCTTTCGAGTATTGACCGTTTTGCTCACCCAATCAAAACTCTTGTCTT